CAATCTGCTGTGGAACCAAAGTTCAGTTTTACCACATTGTGACTGATTGATTTACATCTTATAGCGCAGTTACAGTTATAATAACCTGAAACTCAAAACCTTAAACCACGTGAAATTTACGTGCCTTGGGGTTTTGTTTCAAACATGAAATTCATTTCAGATTTGCTACAGCTCACTGTTAAATATAGTCTGTTTTTTCCCAGAGAAACCAAGGTAAGAAACATTTAGTTTTTCCATATATCCACATATCCAGTGTTTAGTTCAGTTTTGGGTTAGTTTGAAATAGGCTTTTCTGAACCCCAGATGCAAATTAGTGATATTCTGGAGGTTGAGAATCTAGGCAAAAAGAAGCCAGGAAAAAAGTTTTGGCCAAAATCTCTACAAAACTACACCATGCTGGTCTTTCCCAGCACAAGACTTTCAATGAGATTTAATTCCTGCTGGTCAAGCAGACACAGAAAAGTCAGTTAGGAGGAATTAAAAGTTCAATTTTTGACATTTGTCTGTGCAATAACTGATTACAGCTGACTCATTTATCATCTGTAATTGCTTCTGATTAAACAATTGGCCTGCCTCTAATGTCTACACCTAGGTGAATTTATGCTGAATATTATAACATGTTTCCCCGGGTTAGTCTGGCTCAGTGGAATGTTTATGCTGCTGATCCCCTGTTTTCAAGTGCACTATTTGGACTAGTTTCTTCCAGCAATGCTGAAAACTTTAAGGGTGCATGTATGCTAACAGTCCAATCTAAAGTCCATTAATTAATTGATTTGCCAAGAATTAACTGAACTGTAGGTACCCTGTGGAAAGGACCGGTTGTTTTTACACTGTGCTAATTCTTTGAGATGGTTTTTGGCAAACTCTTTGGAACTTCCACATGCACCATGCCATACTGTGGTGGCTAAGAAGTAGGGGTGTGTGAAGCAGGCCCTATTTGATTTGGATTTGGCCTGAATCAGGGACAGTGATTTGATTAGTTGGTTCGGATCACTGTCCCTGATTTGATTCGGCCAAATCTGAATCTGAAGATTTGATGCTATTTGAAGAATCAGCAATTTGAACATAGACACAGCTTTAAAAGTTTTTTCTGCATTCCTTGAGGTAACAGGCATGGTTTGTGATCGCTGCAATGCTGGGGTGCTTCTGGTCCACTTTTGGGTCTGTGGGTACTTCTGATTCACTTCTGGGTCTGCTGGGGAGTGTACTGGGCCCCCCCACACCTCCCCAGATCGGCAATCATCCACGTGGGGAGCCCGGGTGCCCCCCCAGACCCAGGAGGCACCAGTCACCAAGACCGGGGGGTGTGGGGGTCCCCCCAGTGTACTCCCCAGCAGACCCAGAAGTGGACCAGAAGTGCTTCTGGTCTGCTTCCAGGTCTGCTGCCAAGCACACTGGGGAGCCCGCCATGCTTCTGTGGGATACTCTATGCGCCCCAGCATCGCAGCATTCGCGAGCCCCTGCTACCTAGAGTTATATAGAAAAAACATTTAAAGCTGTGTCTATGTCCAAATCTTTCCAAATCTCTCTGAATTGATTCAGAGGGTTCTGATTTGATTCAGAGAGATTAAAGGGTCCTCTGATTTGATTCAGATTTGGAGATTCAGTCACCAAATCGGGCTGAATCTCCACTGAATCGAATCAGGGACTGTGCTTTGCACAGCCCTACTAAGCAGTTGCATTCTGCTTCTCTTGATGTATCTTTTCCATAGGGCCTGCCTAATTCTACTCCTCACAGCAGGCCTTTGGCATCATTTCCAAATGTGAAGTGCTGTGTTACAGGATGGAAGGCTGGAAGCACTAATGTAAGTGGACAACTTGTGATTTCCTGTCTACTGGTAGACTGCACTATGCCATAGAGGTGTCAGTTCTCTACCAGACTTGAGGAATCCTTGGTGGCTTCATTCATTCAAGTTTTAAGAAAGATTTCATTTGCTTCTGTCTTTATGTAACCAACCAGAGCTGGATTTGAGATGACTGTCTGTTTCTGAACTGCAATAGCCAGTTCTGGGTTATGTGTAAACAGGTTAATAGCCCATCACAGAACTGGAGTCAGTGTCTATGGAGTCTGGAGTTAATGTTGAACAACAGTTCCTCTCGATCTGAGCTCAAGGCCTCATTACAGAGGCTCTCAATGTCGTCTTGTGAAACACCTGGCATGACTCATACAGGGATGTAGGCATTGTGCTCATATGGTAAGTTCAAGTGTCCTAGCAAATGGCTTGCTGTAGGGCCCTTATACCAGCTAGTTATTATTAATGTCTTGTTGTGAACGGGGCCTTAGGATGTTTGTTTCCTTGTAATGAAAGGCAGAACAGAGGGCTTTTCCTGGAAAAAATAAAAGTGCATTTGCTTTGATTTGTTTTACTCCTCCACAAAGAGGTAATTCATGCTCATTTTTGTGAGTTGACTGGGTTATTTACCACTGGATGAGGCAAATGAAGGGCTCCTTCAGTGGTTGACTATTGCATTCCAGGTTCTTGTAACAAAAATATTTTTGTTCATCTGCTCTGCTTTTTTCTTAGACTTTGTTTGGGTCTCATCTGAAATTGGTCAGCTTCCCAGTTTGCTAAAGATCAAGTCATTTTTCTGCCTTTCCCCTCTGGACTCCCTCAAGACTGGAACATGTCTGTACATGGATCTTTATATCATGAATATCTGTCTGATGGTTGGCAATACCACTTCCACCACTGTTTTGTAACAGAGAGCAGGAAGTTTGAAAAATAGCCCCACTACTTCAAATGCTGCAGCAGCCTCCTGTTTTGTGCCTCTGAGCTAATTATGTGAAGAAAGAAATGTGTGCAATTAATTTCAGCTTCTTTTCTGTTTGCACATTTTCTACAATGCATTTAACAAAGATCATATATGTATTCATTCTTCAGCAAATTGTTTCTGTGTAAAATTCTTGTATTGTAAATGGTTCCCAAACCCTTTGAAATAATTCAGTGTTTGATACTGAAGCTATGTTGGTTAGTTTTTGTTAGACATGTATGTCATATAGCATTGTTTCTATTCCCTGTTAGGATGAACATACCCAATGCAAGTATATGTACTTGCAAGTTTCATATTGATCTTCTGTGAATATTCTCTACAATTTGCTTCTAATTCATGCTGATGAGCTCAATCGCTAGCTTATTCATGGAAGTGTGCATGACAGAGATACAAAGCTAAGCAAATTCATTGTTTATCAAAACGAATGTCTACTGAACATTTCTGAGCCATTCACTTGGCTTTCAACCAGATCCTCTGTTGGTTTTGCCCTGCTTTAACTGATTGAACTCTTTCCCCATGTCTGTGCCACTGAAAGTTAAATATAGGAACATCTTTGTTATTGCAGTTTTCATTTCTGTTTTATAGTGGATATTTCCCCCCAGTATTTCTTTTCCTAAATATTTGATGTCTTTTAGCTATTTTTCTTTTGAATCTACTGCATTGTGCACATTGCAACCAAATTTGTAGTTTGGGCTTTTATTTCCTTTGGAGAGGGAGGTGGGGCTAATAAACATCCCAGGACTCTCTTTTCTGACTTGGATGCAGTTTGAGGTATTAATTATGGCAAGAGGGAGCTTCAGAACATGTCATGGTTCCAGCGGGCTAGGGAGGAATATAGGTTTTACGTCGTATTTGATGTGCAGCTAGATAGCTGAATGGACTGAAACTAGCTCACTTTTTGACTTTGTACCTTTCTATCACCAGTTTCAATATGTTCCAAGCTGGACACCATAGTAAGCCCTGTGTTGGCTGTTTGGTAGTTCATTCTATGTGAAGTAAACTGGGAGTCTTAATGCAGGCCCTAGTAGATGAATATCCACATCATGGTTGGCTGTGAAGACCACTGTTAGTGGAAATCTACAGTAGGAACATAGGATTCAGTGAGATTAGATATTTAGGCTTGGTCCTGCAAACACATAACCATGTATCTAAGCAGGTGAGTACTTTCCAGATACTTAAAGTTAAGCAGCTGGGAATGTGTTTTGTGAATTGTGGCCTTCTCACCTGCAGCTGGTTTCCTGGGAGAGTCCTGATTCTGTAATTATTTTTGTGATCTCTCAGTAGCTGTGTTTCTGTTAAATAGTGCTAATTCATACCTATCTTCCATAGGAACTTTTTCATTCTTGCATTCCAGAACACTCCAGAAAGGAGCTGTAGGTATTCTTTTCCCATTTTACTGGCAATTTAAGTATTTTAATCACATTCAGTGGTGCAGAAAGGCTCTCAAGTGACAGACTTCAAAGCTGATGCTCTTTCTTTATCCACCATGCCAGTGCAGCAAAAGTGCTGACAGCAGAAGCTTCCTCCCTCCATTTTCCTGCACCTATGTCTGAAACCTGCACTGGAGGACCAGAACGCAGCTCAGATTCCATTGGGCAGTCTATCCTTGGAGTCTCTGTTTAAGAATATCAACAGCATGGCCCTTACTGCAGGTGGCATTTCATGTGATACATCCACTTGATGGAGACCACCAAACTCATGTTGCATAGATCACCAACAGCCATCAGGGGATGACAACATCCAGTCACTTCTGATCTGAGCATTAATCCTGCAGGTTGTGTGTGTAGGCACAGTTCCATGCCAGTACAGAACCACATGGAAGTCAGTGGTACCCTGTGCTGGTACAGTGGGGTGTGTCCATATGTGAAAATCTGCCAAATGGGATCCTACACTAGAAATTATTTACTTGAAGGAAAAAGCCCCCCTATTCCCAATCTCCCAAAATATATAGATTAGATTTTTAACTGTTTGGCATCCACAATTAAAGCCCAAAGGCACTTAGCAACCAGGAAACATTCAATAAATATACTGAATACTGAAATTTTGGCCATTTACTGTGGTGCTGAAATAGGAGTTGAATTTTTCCAGAAACCTGGAATTAAATGTACTTTGCTATATTTTGGCAAAAAACCCAACAGGTGCAACACTTTGTATGTTTTCTCCTTATTTACGGAAGAACAGTTATAAAATAAGTGTAGTCTGAAAACCAGAAGGTGAGAGACCAGGAATACAGACAAACATTCTCTTTATTGAGCTACACATGAATTTTCCATTAGTCAGAGAAAGAGATTGGCAGTGTCTAATATATCACAGAAACCTCACTGATTGGTAATAGAAAGGCTTAGAAAGACCTGGCGCTTTATATATATATATATTTTAGTTTCCTCTTTGTTTATTCATTTTATTTTAAACAGGTGTAACTGGTTTTCTTCAGCAAAGATAACTCTTAAAAGTGAAACTGTGAAGACATCTGATTACTAATCAAAGTAGAAATGATGAAGGATTGGTCATGAAAACTGTGGCTTTAATGTAAACACTACATTCGATTCTGTTTTTTTATAGTTTTTGTGGTTTTTGTGTGTGTTTTTTAAAATTTTTAAATCATTTCTTTCTTTCTTTTTTTTTTTTAATTATTTTTGCAGCACAAACATCCCCACATGAGAGAGAAAAAACATTCACTAAAAGGAAGGATCGGAGGAGGGAAAAAGCAGCACAAAAAAGCATTCACTGGAAAGAGTTAAAAATTAAAAAAAACAAAACAAAACAAAAAATACCCCAAACAAAAATACCCTCCCCAAAGCCCCCAAATCAACCCCCAAAATAAATAAAGAAGAGGAAACCTATATGGTATGTAATACACAGTATTCTTTAGAGAAAATAAAGTTGAAATGGGGGAAATCTCTAGATAATTTGGCCACTATTGACTGGCCAGTGACAGCTGTGCTTTTTTCAATACAAACCTGGAGAATGAGAGAGACAATTCAGAGCAAAGAGTTGTTATTAAACTAGGAAAAACAAAAGCAGAAAGACAGCCCCTTCTAGATACCTGACCCACTGTCATGGTACTACAGCATGGTCTTATTACTCCAGGCTAATAAAAACCTTTATTTTTTAGTTTTTAAAGGCAGGGCACAAATAAAAATTGAAAAGGAACTTAAATGAAAACAAATGCAAATTCATCCCCATTAAAATGAGGAATTGAGAAGAGAATGCTTCCTAGAACTGTTGCAAAAATCTGTTTTTGAAAAGAAATGGGGGAAGGGAGAACGTGAAAGGAAGAATTTTTCCCTCTTTTTTAGCTACAAAGCACATGGAAAAAAAAGTTTTTTTTTTAAATGTTTTTCTTCTTTTTTTTAATCATTTAGCTTCTAAATGTAAAGACTCAGCTAAAACCAGATCTACAGCATTCTACGGAAACACACAGCCACCATTCCATGTTCAGAACATTATACATCGACTCAATAAGGAAGGCTGTGTCTTATACAAAGGCCAAAAGGTCATGCTACCGGTAAGGAGAACGTCAACAGGAGAGTCCGTGAAGTGGTCTGGAGAGAGAGAGAAAGAAAAGGGAGCCCAGGCTTGAATGCTTTAAAAAAATCAAATAAATAATAGGGGTGTTGCTCACTACTAAGTAAAACAGCATCAAAATGGTCAATGTGATTAACCTTGTTTAAAAAAATATTTGTAACTCCCCTCCCCTGCCCACAGCCCTAATAGTGAGGTTGGCACTGAAATTGGACTGGCAAATACATTTCCCACCCCCCATCTTGTGTGTGCGTGTGCATGTGCATGTGTGTGTGCGCGTGTGTGTGCATGCGCGCTACTAGGGGCCCTCCTCTTTCTCACAGACTCTGCGCTGGTAAAAAAGCCTGAAGCTCTCCATCCTGTGCTTTAACTTGGGACAAAGTTACATTCCACAAGTGAAGAGCTTTTACATAAGGGTGCTTTCCTGCCACGTCCTGTTAAAGTCTTAAAATATTGTGGCTTACTTTTTTCTTGTTTTTCTTGTTGTCTTTTTTGTTTTCCATTGTTGTTTTTGTTTGTTTGCCTTTTAAACCCACAAGAGCTGAACAGAACTGAGAGGTACTGAAAGCTCAGCCCACCGAACCCTGTACTCAGGGTGGTACCAGCTGATCTACAGCTTCCCATGGTAGTACCCAAAAAAACCCTGCCCCAAAAAACACCCCCAAAACATATACAAAAAAGAAAGAGAAGCAGAGAGAAAGAAAGAAGGAAATAAAGAAAATTTTTCCTTCCCACAACCCCAACACACAAAGGAGAGTTAAAAAAATAACATCACCACTATTTGTTTTAAGAAGAGATTCTTTTAAAATTCATGGTCTATTTTAGGCTGAACATGAGGGCAGACCATTTAGAAAATGACAGCGTTGGTTTTCTTGGCTGATTGAATTGATGCGATTTCTATTACTAGCAGCTTTGCTAGGAAGGGCTGAGATCTGTCAGAGAAATCAGTTCTGCCCACAGCTCTTTGAGACAAACTAAAAAGGTTGTTGTGGATTTTTTTATATATATATGTATATATATATATATGTTTTCATTATGCCTTTTTATTTACCAACTTGCATTATTATTATTATGTTTTTTTTCTCATTTGATTCGGTTTTTGTTTTGTTTTGCTTTTTTCCCCCTCGCACTGTGATCATTACCAAAGAAGTTGCTTTGCTATACAGGGTGAGAAGGTATCAGTACAAGCCGCAGCCTCGAAGGTTGTTGGCAATGATGATGTCGGTGACAGCGTCGAATACCACCTGGATGTTGTTCGTGTCTGTCGCGCAAGTCATGTGACAGTAAATCTCCTTGTTGGGGGAGCGGTTTTTGCTTTCAAATTGTGCTTGGATATATGCTGCCGCATCTTCGTAAGTGTTTGGACCTGCAGACAGACAAACAAACAGGAAAAGAAAGAGAATCTCTGTTAGAGGCCTTTTGGGCATAAGAATGAATACTCTAGAAGAGAAGTGTTGAGAGGAGGTTGTTGTATTGTCCTCTTCAAGATCATCTAAGAGGGTCAACCTCTACAGAAGGCTTAAAAAGGCAAGCTGGTTTTTCTGTGCTTGTTTTACACCAGAGAATCAGGTTCCAGGTGCCCTCTCCTTCATTCTAGCAGATTCTGTGGATGATTGCAGATCTAGTGAGATGGTGACATCACAAGTACAGTTTGAGCAACTCAAAGGGGGAAGAGATTTCTCTGGGCCAGATCCTCAGCTGACACAAGTCAGTCAGCTCTGTTAATTTCAAGAGTAACGCTCCTGTACGTGAGCTGAGGAGTTTGCATTCTTTTGTTGTTACTTACTTGACTCCAACACCCGAACAAACAGCTGGGGGAAAAGACCTCTCTGGTAAATATTCAGCAGTGTTTCCCCTTCTCTCCCCTTTAATTTAAGGATATAGAAAGTTGCTACTACAACTCTCTGCATCTCACACAGGCCCCTAGAAAACCCAAGGAAGATATGGCTTGATGCTGTTCATGAGGTGAAAAGCAAGCAGAAAACATAAAACTCAAATAAGTCAACTTTGCAGATTGTATTTATTCATCCCAAAGAAGCTCCAAAAGTAACAATCCATGTGTTTTGTCCTCCCTCTTTGATGTTACTGTTAAAGGTAGGGTCTGAAGTGTAGGATCAGTGCAGTGCTAGGCCATGTAACTATTGTGATCTTAATAAAAAGTGCTTTGTTGTAACATTTATTTTAGCTCTTTGTCTGCAGGAAGATCAGCAGTGCACCAGGCATATTTTGTTAACTTGTATAGTCTGTGACCTTCCTGAATGTGACCTGAGCGTTGTGTACTTAGGACACATCCCCAAACCACCTCTGATTTTCCTATATCACCCTACTGGCTGTGGTGATTTCCACTTCTCTCTCATTTGTGTTGGGGTCAGGAACCCATGATTATGCCCTCATCTCAGCCCTCTGCCTCTCTACCCATCCTTCCAGCTCTTTCCAGCAGCCTGCTTCCTTTCACCATTACCAAACTTCTACTGCCTTTCATTCCTCAGTGGTGTCCTTCTCTGATCAAACATTTCCTGTTGCTCCTTAGTCTTTTTATTCCCTTCACCTCTCTTGTTTCTTTTTCTCCCCCAGAACCCACCTCTTACATCTTCCCTGCCTATTACACTATCCCTCCCTTTTTTCCCCACATTTCTCTGTCAACATCTTTCTCCATAGACTACACATTAGTATTGTTAAAGGGGAAGAATGGGTCCAGCTCTGCAACTGGGAAAAGGGGAAGGAGAGGAGAAACACCTTGCATCACTTCCCAGTGTCTTCCTCTGGATGACCAGGGAGAAGCACTGAGTGAACTGCTGGGTCTTTCTTGGAGGAGACTGGGCCAACCATGGTGGGAGGGGGTGGCTTAAAGGTAGTATTATGAGTGGAGAAAATGAGGGAAGGGATCTAGATCTCGCATGACCTGTGCACTCCCAAAATGTAGTGTGAACAGGCCTCAAAGGTTTAAAGCACTGAAAAACTTGGAGGCTCTAACATTCATTTTCCTAACAAGAATCATATTGGCAATATGAAGAAAAAAATCACTCCAAGGAAAAAAGAACGAATAAAGGATCAGAAAAGCAGTTCTCACCCATTTTGCATAGCGAAGTATTTAGCTGCGTTAGTCTGAAATCAGGCAGAAGGCATTTTGTAGATCAGGGGTTCTCAGCCAGGGGGTACTTTGGAAGGCCCTAGGGGGTACATGCGTGTGGACAGAGTGCTGCCACTCACCACCCCATGCCACCATGTTCCAGGAGCAGGGCCAGGGGGAAGGGGGATGGGAGGAGTGGCGCCCCACTGTGGGTCACACAAGCACCGCCCAGCTGGTCAGACACGGGGGGGGGG